ATAGGTTTACAAAACAATTTAATTTTTCTCAATTTATTATTTTATTATAGTTTTGTGGATTTCATATATCGTAATCATATTTAAACCCCCTCCCCTCTGTACCCCCCATAGCCATCCTGCCCACCAAATTTCAGGCATTCTGTCATATACACTAAGTCTTATCGAGTCGAGTTTGTGTCTCTCGATTTCTCTTAGTATGAGATATGCTTTAACATTTATTTCCTGAGACTTCTTACATCTTTGGTCATACTACAAATTCCTTTATATTGAGTATTTTTCTTCTAAACTGTGAACTCCAGAAGAAAGAGACTATGTTTCTTTTGCTCATTTTTGTATCATCTTACTGCAAATAGTAGGTAATATGAGAAATGGACTATCTCAATGTTTCCTTATTGAATTACTGAATTCATAAATGTGTAACAGACCAAAGTACAGTTTATCTATAGTAAGTAATATATCACTAATAGCTTGTTACATAGAATAAAATATTTTGAAACATTCTTTTTTTTAACTTTTACGAAAACTTTTTTGAGAATTTCATACATGCATATAAGGTGTTTTGATCAAATCCATGCCCACTCCTTCCCCTCCAACTCCTCCCATATCTCCCCACTACTTTTGTCTTTATCTTTTTCTTTCATTTATTTATTTTTATGGGGCTTTTGGGTACTCTAACATTCCCCCCTCTGAAGAGGTAACCCTAAAATCTTTTAAGGATTAGAGGATTAGATAAGAGCTCCCACATACTTTTAACATTATTTTGGCCTTTGGAACAGAGTATGTTGCTAAGAGGTCCAAGGACATTTTGACATTTAGACAAGAAACTGGCTACTTTTCTTTGAGGTCTTTTTTACCCTAACTGCCTAGCCAATTCCTATGTCCTATTTTTAATCATGCCATCCTCTGAAGGGATTACCCAAATTGCCAATAGAGAATAGGGACGCAGACCACTCTGGCTTCTTCCATGCTGAACAGGGATGCAGGATGAGGCAATTGGAGTATCCCTTCAGTGTTTCTACCTAAAAGACTCCCAAATTGTGTAACTCTTATCTCTAAGGGGAAAAGAAAATCCTTTAATCATGAATAGGAGATGTGAAGGAGAAGTAAAGACAAGAGTAATCAGCATTACAAGCTCTAGACAGGGAAGTAGAAAAACATCAGAACAGAGCAATTTTCAAATGTTCATAAGAGTCCATTGGAATTTCTTGACAAGGGCTTCCAAAAGCATCCCTCTATTGTATTCTTCCTCATTATTTTTTTGTCTTCCAATGCTGGACTCTAGAGTGATGGATTCAGGATTTGCTTTCAGGTATTTTGATAGCTGTTGGAGTAGTTAGAATGAGCGTCAGTTCCCTCTCAAAGGCTTCAAGATAACTGAGGGGTTGCTGAGGTGTATGTAAGACCTGAGGGTGCACACTGGATAGCCTTTACCCAGCATGGGTCATGCCTTCTCTTCCTGGCCTTCCTTAGATTGTATACTTTGGCCCTCAGCAAATCCAGGAGGCTATGTGTGATTAGGGTCAAATTACATACAGTTGGCTGGGAAAAGTGGCTGGGTACTCCAGTAAGGGTCCAGTGACACTGCTTTGCCCTCCTTTAATGAATGAGCACAATCCTCAACAAGCCAAATTGTGATGATGTTTAGCGATCAGGCTCAGCTGAAGTTGGAAACATTCTTAAACTCTGTGCATTATGTATCATATAGCGCCATTTTAAAATACTGCTATCAGAGTATGCAAATATGTGGCAAATAGGCTTGAGATTTCTGTTGTCCAACAGAGACCTAAAATCTTACAAACATCTTGGCCTGCAACTTGGCAATTACTAACTAGTACCTATTCAATTATCATGTATCATGCAGAGATCTCTTTTATAACAGGTTAACAAAAAGTATGATGCAAAGATTTTTTTGAAAACTCAACTGTATGTTCTAGGATTTACTGAACTATGTCCGGTATACACAGACCCGCTTAGTGCATAAACTATCACTTTCCTTAATATCTTCCAGCTGCCAGTCTTGAAAATTATTTGCCTATGCACTAAGTTCTGAGATAACCTAAATTAGCCTGAGAATACAGTTCAATTCTGTCCCACCAGTGGGGTTTGCTTCCAGAAACCTAGACACTTTCCCTGCAATACTTAATGTGTTCTGCCCTGTTCAGTGGGTCACTGCTCAGATTTTTTGATAAACGTGTCTAAAACTCTGAACTAAATTTAAGCCCACTGAAACAGGGCTGGTCTGACCCTTCCAACTCTTACCCAGTGTAATACCCACTGCTCACAGTTCTTCTTGAAGGCCTTAATGAAAAGCAAAGTCTTTCCAACTCCTGGGAAGAACTGCTTTATCATGATGCTCACAGGATAGGAAAGCTGAATTATGTAAACCTCATCTATCCTCTATAAGTTTCTATAAAACCTCTAGATTTATTCATTCTTCAGCTATGAAAATATTTGTACCCTGCATAGATAACTAGGTAATAGTATCTAGGCAATTTGGAGATCATAATAAAAAAGTCTGTCCTGTGGTGGAGTTTGGGAGGGTAGAGGAGGGAATACGGGGAGAGACAGCTAACTCTAAAGGTCTTTGGAAAAAGTCATATGAAGCTGGGCATGGTGGTGCTCACCTTTAGCACCAGCACTCAGAGGGAAGCAGAAACAGGAGGATCTCTGTGAGATCTAGGCAACCCCGGTATACATAGTGAGTTCCAGACCAGTGGGGTCTACAGGACCCAGGAGACCCAGTCTCAAAAAGCTCAAAAGAAAAAAAAATGAAAGAAAGTAAAAAGAAAAAGTCATATGAAGACAGAACTGTAGAAGCTTCCATATATATGGAAGAGAGAGAGAGAGAGAGAGAGAGAGAGAGAGAGAGAGAGAGAGAGAGTTTGCATATATATGGAAGAGAGAGACAGGACACGGTAACACACATCTTTATTCTTAGCACTTTAGCACTCAGGAAGCAGAGGCAGGTGGGTCTCTGTGAAATCAAGGCCAGCCTGATATACATAGTTATTCCAGGCCAGTTGGCAATACAAGGGAGGCCCATCTCTAAAACCAAAAACAAAACAAAAGAAAAAACAACAAAAAATAGTCTACATGGAGCTATCTTATAAAGGAGGTACGATGCCCCTACCTGACACTACAGGCTTAACTTAATACCAGGAATGTACTTTTGGAGTTGTTGAGACATCTTTATCACACCCTTCCCCCCAGGGGCTCAGCTAGTGCTGTGGAAGAGGAGTTGGAAAGATTGCAAGAACCAGGGGTGTTAGGCAAATACAACTAAACAGTATTTTGAGTACACAACAGGGCAGTTGCACATACTGACATAAACAAAACGTGCACAAGCCCAAACCAGACAAAATCCCCCATGGAAAGTAAGGTGGACACAAACCCCCAACTCTAGCTGAGGAACTTTTGCCAATTGATAGTTGCTGGGAGGAGGAAGGTCAATTTTCTTTAAGAATGTGACAGTGGATAGGTTGACCATGCTCCAGGGATTCACCCATACAAAGAATATTTGGGGAACACAAACTGGGCTCAATAGGCTTTAAAAACAATAGAGGATACAAAGTGAAGGAGCATGATTGGGAGGGGGTGGAATGGAGACGAGATGAGGGAGGGGATTTGAAGGTGATCAAAATACATTGTACCGAATTCTCAAAGAATCAATAAAAATATTATTAAAAAACAAAGTATTTTTAAAAATGGATGTCCTTACATGGGTCAAGGGTATAAAATTCCCAGAAGTAGAGCAGGTAAATATATACTTGGGGGATGAAAATAGGGGAAAAAAAGAAGAAAGATCCCATTTAATATAAGGATTCTACTCCCTTCTTCCTTTAGAGCAACTTATGCTTGATTTAATGATTTTAGCATTTTTAATCCCAGAGAATGACTTTTTAAATTACACAGGCTTAAATGTGTATTAACTTTATGCTAATCACAGGACTAAGGCAGTGTTTGATTATAAACCAGTAACTTGGTTCTGAGCTTGGCAGTTTAATCTTGCTTTTGAAGAATTCACAATATGAAATTATATTTAGCTTCTAACAGCATTTTAAAAATATTTTTTTGAGATTTGTACATTTCATACAACAATTCTTAATCAAATTAAGACAGCCCCCACCCCCATCCATGCCCCTATACTCCACCCCACCTGGCCTCATGTATTCTGTCATATATATTAAGTCCTATCTGGTCAAGCATTTTACCCAGATTTCCCTTGTTGCAAGTTCATCTACTGGAGTCTATTCAACCTATCTAGAGATTGTAAGGAAGGTCTACTCTCCCTCTCCTGGCAGCAATCAGTCTCCAACAGTTCTCAGGCTAGGGCTGATTCCCCCCCCCCCACCAACACACACACACATTTCCATCAAACCACACTGGGTCCTTGTCTGATGGAGTTGGCCTGGGTCTTGTGCTTGACACCACCATTGCCACATGTTCACATGAACTAGCTTCCAGTGGCCTGAAAGCCTCTGTAACAGTATTTTTTAGGGTCAAGCACTGCATTAAATTCAGCAACAGAAGATATATGAATATGTCTTAGTCACAGAAATAAACAATGCAGTTAATTTTATTAATAAGCAAGACAAAACAAGTAATACAGAAATCTAATAAAAACAAGTTTAATTACTTAGTCAATTTATTTTAATTTCCTCACATTTTGTACTATAATTTGAGAGTAGACTGTAGTTATTTGAAAACTGTCCTAATAAAGGGTTTTAATAATTTATACCATATAGAACTTTTCTTCTCTGCTTGATTAGATGCTAATTTCAAAGTCAATACTGTTCAAATTTGCTTTAGGAAGACTTTATAACAAAGTTTAAGTCTAAGAATAGGTAGAAAAAATATGATGTTTAAAACATGTTCCTGGAAGAATTTCCTTACAGCCTTGAATCACTTAGTTAACAATATATGGTTGTTAAGAATAAGAATGATTTATGATTTAATTGTTCAAATTTTGTTTTACACTTCCATTTTTATGTTTTCTTTAGATAAGAAATGTTGAAACCAATCAATGTTTAGACAACATGGGCCGCAAAGAAAATGAAAAAGTGGGCATATTCAACTGTCATGGCATGGGAGGCAACCAGGTAAACTCTCCTTTGTCATCAGCCCTTATTGTGGGGGTATTACCAGTACTATTAACACCAACAGGGCACATGATAGCAGTAACATCTTCAGTAAATGAATGGGTGTTTGAACCAACAACTAATTTGTGTATCTTATTTTCCCATGTATCTTTTCTTAATAATTTTTTGCTGATTTTGTACTATGTACTTTGAACACATTCAAACTCCCTCTTGCTAACCCCTTCCATGAATTCATGTCTTCTATTCTAATCTCTGCTTCTGAAGTACCCCCGGGTGTGGGTACACACTCTTGAGTCTGGTCAACCTACCAGGCATGCCACCAGTAAGGAAATGATACTCTCTCTCTCTCAGAATCCATCAGTTGCCAATAGAGTCTCAGCTATGACTGGGACTTCTTTCCTACTTCCCCTACATGTTGGGCCCCTGTTTGGCTTGAGTTTGCAGAGGTCTTGTATATGCTGTCATAAGTACTTTGGGTTCATATGTGCAGTCACTCTGTGGAGTCCACACAATAGTTTTCGTGTACTCATCTACTACCTCTGACCCTTAAAATCTTTTTGCCCTCCTCTTTCACAATCATTCCTGAGACTTTGGGAAGAGAAGGTACAATATAGATGTCCCCTTTAGGTCTGAGTCCTCTGTGGTCTCTTATTTTCTACACACTGACTAATTTGTAGGTCTCTGTTTAACTGCCATCTGCTCTAAGAAGAACCTTCTGTGGTGAGAGCTGATGTATGAGTCTATGGATATAAATTAAGTTATTGTGAGTCAATTTAACATTATGTCTGTTTAGCTGAATAATAGTAATTGGTCTTCCCCTATGGCCTGTGACCTTTCTAGCCACTGTGAAGCAGGCCTTAAATCCAATTGGCAGGTGGTTGGTTACTCCCATAAAATTCCTGCCACTATTGCCATTGGACATATTTTGCCAAACCAGTTGCCACTGCAGCTCAAAGAGATTACGGCTGAGTAAGGTTAGTGTGAAGCTACATCTCTGCTGGTACATCTCATAGCACTGGATGGTGTTATACATGTTACTGTCACAAGTATCAAAAGAGAGCAATGCACAATTAAATGAAAAGGGCAACACTTTCAGTGAAACTCCATTTGACAAGGGCAGTCAACATATTACAATATTGCATTTTATCATGATGAGTAAATAAGCACTATGCTCTTCTATTTACTGAATGAGAAAATAACATCTCAACTGCAGTATTTTCTGTGTTAATTAATCTATTTTTCTTTGGCTAATTTCTGTGTGTAGAAAAATATCTAAGAGTTTTTGAATTTTAATAAAACTGAGCAGTACATTAGTCAGCACTGGAGGCCTATTCTAAATCTAGGACAACTTTTACGGTGGCACTTCAGTTAACTATCAGAAACTTATCAGAGCACAAAGAGGACTCTTGTGATCTACTTGAGTACGGCAAAGTAGCTCTAGCGTCACCCAGAGTCTGCTTGTTTGTGAGTCACAGTACTGTAGGATTCCTGTTACTATAGCTACTTTGGAATTCCTGGGAACTATAATCACATTGCTGAGTTTGAGACGGGTCCACAGACAAGCTGTCTACAGAAGGTGATAGGAACAGCAGCAATGAGTTCTGTGTAAATGATAACATTTCTAGGCAGAGTGAATTAAGGTCACGACAGCTATTTTGTCCATCAGGTGTCAACATTCCAAGCACAGAGATGTACGTTGACTCTGGTATTATAAAACAAGAAGAAAAGGGGTCTAGTTGGATTTTGAACGATATTTCATACAGGCTTGCATCATGCAGTTGAGAAAATGAAATGTTTACACTTAAATAGAAACAAAACAAAAATATTAAACTCCTAATTAGAGTGTTTCAATGTTTCAATTAAAGCGGGAAAATAGTTAAAATCATTTCCAAATGATAGCATTTGCGAAAATAATATTATTAAAAAAGAAGGTATAAAAATAGCAAGTTAGGCAAAAAAAAGTATCAAAAATGGCACAGCTTATTGTTTGATTCACAACGAATTCAAGAGGCCTCTACCGCCAAAACCAAGAGTTCTTTAACTTCATCTGGAAACTGAGGAAAGTCAAACCATCAAAAGACTAAATATACAGAGGATTATCTTTCCCCTGTCACCAAAAATTTGAAAGTGGCCATTGGTGGACATTTGTTTTGGTCACCAATAGTTCCATCAAGAAGTCAGAAACTTTCTAGCTTTTCCATTCTTATAATTGTGAGCATCATCTGGTCAGAAGGGGTAGCTGAAGGAAGGAAGCACTGCAGGTAGGAACCGCAGCACCCTTGCCTGGTCTTTTATTAAAAAAAAGCCATGTTCTTAAAATACAATCATCCATATACATGCTTCCTTGTCCAGAAGTATACTGCTTGAACACCCCTAACTGCAAGAAAATCTCTGCGTAGTTTGCCTCCAATGCCCACGTGCTCTTCCTTACAGGTCATTTCTCATGGATATTGTGTGAAAATTTGGAAGCACCTATATAATCTCCCTCAACAGGTTATAGGGGGAAAATGTGCTAAATATCTGTACCATGATGAAATAAAGAATTCAAGTAAGAAACATTACTTATGATATCATCCTAACTATAAAGAAGATTGAGATGAGAAAGCAAGGTCACCAGATGAATTACCCACAAGCATTCACTAAGCTGACAAAGATAGGTTCAAAAGGATAAATACAGATTCAAACTTGTCAAAATGATGTCATACTCCTGGACCACAAGGGTCACAATGACATTATCTGTCTTCAAGTTTCGAAAGACATAAATTAGTCATCCCTCTCTGTTGAAAAGTTCTTGTTGGGAAGAGTTTATGTCTTGCATGTATCTCCATTTCTGACACCTGGTGTTTTGTTTGGGATATAAGAGATATGTAATAAATGCTAGTCTTGTACAGAGATGAAAACCTGTATGGCCAGACAACACATCTGTGCCTTGGTGCTGTGTGGATATTGCCAAGGAATTACTTGGGCATTTTTTATTTTTGCCATTGTAAGCAATCTCAGATTAAAAAATAAACAAAAAGGGGCTAAAGAGAGGGCTCAGCAGTTAAGAGAACTGACTCCTCTTGCACAGGACCCGGGTTCAGTTCCCAGCACTCACATGGTAGTTAACAACCATCTGTAACTCCAGTTCCAGGGGATCCGATGCCTTCTTCTGACCTCTGCAGGCATTGCACGATGGGTGTACTTACACACATGCAGGCAATACACATACACACATTAAAAATAAAATATACAATATTTTTTTAAAAAAAATAAAAACAAATTTCATAATCTATCTCAAGCAGCATGGGACATACTGGACACTCAGTGTTTACTGGCCTGTTGCCCCTAATAATTCTCTTAGTATGAGTTCAGGTATCTCGCTTTTAACTTTGAAAAAAATCAAAGAAACAAGCATCAGTTAACAAAAGCAAGATAAAAATGCTGGGCTTTCTTTAGTATTGTTCAACTAAAAACAGGGAATAGCTCTTCTGTGTTCTAAAAAGCATATATTGTGAAAATTTTAAACCATTGCATAAAACTCTATTATGATGACTTTTGTCTTGATGAAATTAACCATTTCTAAGATAACTAATAGAGACATATTTAAATTTTTCTCTTGCTTATTTTACGAAAAGAACAGATTTTTGGATTTTATTTGGAGTTATCCTTTCTGTTTTAATGTTTCATTCTTTTATGTTGCCATGGAAACAGCATCTATTTTTATGGTTATCTAGTGACAAATTTTTCTGCTAGCCCCCAGACCATAGAAATATTCATATTCTTCTTCCTAATTTCACACAAAATCTAAAACTAAGGCAAATATTTTTAACCCAATTGCATTTCAATGTGTGTATATGAGAGTGTACGTGCGTGCATGTGTGCATGTGTGCGTGTGTGCATGTGTGCGTGTGTGTGTGTGTGCGTGTGTGTGCGTATTTAAGAAAAAAATCTCATGTAGGCAAAGCTGATGTTGAGCTATGAATGTAGCTGAGAGTAGCCTTGGATGTTTTTTTCTGCTGAGATTGCAGGCTCTTGCCACATGCCCACCTACATTCAGCTACATCTGGGGCGGGGTGGGGGGGAAGGAGAAGTGTTTTGTTTGTTCACAAAGATATGTTAGCAATCCTTTTTTGCACAACAGTTTTGATATTTGAGATTATTTGATACTTTTAAACTTGCAAACAAAATAATTGGTTGCGCTGTGACATTTTCACTTTGTAAACCAATATAATCTGTTCTTATTTGCATACCCACTTGCCCTCCCCATCCCTTCCCCACACTTCCCTCTTCCTCTCAAACAGTCCCTCCTTCAACTTTAATGTCACTTACCTCATATTCCCCTTCATGTCTCTTATTTCCCTTCCTCATGCTTTTAAAACTCTTCCCTTTAGTAGACTCCATTTTACTTTTTTTGTGTTACCTATGTGCATATGTGGTATGTATGTATAAATTTAAATCTAGTTACCATGTATGAGAGCAAACATACAATATTTGTCTCTGAGTCTGAAGTACTTTGCATAATATAATTTGAAGCTCCACATAATATTCTCTAAATAACATAATTTCCTTCCTTGTTACAGATCTATAAAAATTCCACTGTGCATATGTACCACATTTTCTTTATCATCTCTTGTTGGGCTCTATATTTTGGCTACTGTAAATAGTGCAGTAATAAACATGGATATGCCAGTATCTCTTTGGCATACCGACTTGGACTTCTTCACATATATACCCAGGAGTGTTATATAGCAAGATGACGTTTTCATATGATTTCCGTAGTAGCTGCACACGTTTACATTTCCACCAGCAGTATACAATGAGCTCTCTTTCTCCATATCCTCACCATCATTTCTTGTTCTCTGGATGATAGCCATTCTAACTGAGGTGAGATGGAATCTCGATGTAGTTCTAATTTGCTTTTCTTTGATGGCTAAAGGTTTTGAAGGCATTCAAACCTTTACTGGTCATTTTTACTTCTTCCTTTGAGAGCTGTCTATTCATTAACCCATTCTTAAATA